AACATTGTCACACAAAGGGTTCTTTCACATTCAGCAGAAGGAAATTAAAAGGGGAATTTGAAACTGGCCCACAGTTGGGCATTCTGGTTAACTCCTACATTTTTCTCCCAGGAACATAAATGTTACCAAGTGACTTGTTAAGCCGGACATTATCAGGACTTGGTCTGTCTTACCTCAACCTGCTGTAAGGGAAAGATGAGAGGTTCTTACATTTTATATAATGAGCCGGAAGGCGTGGGATTCCATAGGAAATATGAAATCCGCCTTACGGATCGGGGTTGGTTAAACCAGAAGATCGGGTCTTTTTAATGCAGAGATCATGTAACCGTTATGTATTCACTCAGAGACAACAGAATAGAACCAGTCAAGTTTAAAAGTTAAGAAGTTTTATTACTAACAATTAAACTAGGCTTATTTAAGAACAAAGTGTATAGTGCGACTAAAAATGGATGAGGCGGTGAATGGATGACGTGTCATGTAAATCAGAACCCGCAAATCCGAAGAAGCGATTAGTTCTGACGGGAACTGAAGATGTTGGTTTGGAATAAGCTGGGGTTCGTTTCAGAACTGCATGAGACACCATTAAGCCGCGCCTACCTGCCTGGTGGAAGTCCTCTGTGAGATCAGGAATGCCGAGGTCCACCGGGACCCTCTCTGGACACCGAGCTGGTAGCAGAGCTGCGGTTCCGACACGACCCGTCTCGAGATACTGCCGGCACACGACTCTTGTCTTGGCGTCTGTTCAGACCCAGCCTGGGTCAGTGGAGCTCTTATTCTGAAAGGAGCTGTTGTCGTTGCTTGTTGTTATAGCGACTGGATTTTCTCAGCTTGTTTTGGTTCTTTCGGTTGAAGAGTTAAAGTTCAGGATTGGCCACTCCGTCACTTTGCTCTGGAACGCTTTGAACTGCATTAGAGCTGACGTGGCATCTGTTTTATACCTCGGATGTTTTGGTTTATTGTTGAATGAGAATTACTAAACACCGTCAGAAGCACGCCTCCGTCAGATCTGTAAGATTCTGATTGGATCAGAGAAAAGAATGTGTCGTTTTTTTTAACACTACGTGAAATGAGTCCTGTTGGAACATTTAAAGTTACATTAATTCATTTCTAAGATCATAATAAAATAATTAATATTTTAATTTCACAGGTCGGTCACATCTTATTATATTGACTAACACTTTATTTATTTATTTATTTATTGAGAACCTCATTAGCTCACACCATAGTGTGGAGCTATTCTTCCTGAGGTCTCTTTCAATTTCATTACAAATATTTTACAAAACACCCCCCTCCCTCCCCCTCCACCCCCCCACACACACACACACCAAACAACAACAAACTCCAGGAGCTCATTATAATCATACCAGCTCAATTGCTATAATGATACACCAATAAGTTACCACACACTTCAGCGTTCATGAAAAATCTAAATAGGTGAAAACGGAGAGTTTACACAGAGCAATAAATAACTATATCCAAGAATCAAAAATCATATCACATCACATTTATAACAAACAAAAATTATAGAAGCCGTCATATCAGTCACATTTACAATTCACTGTGCAAAATTTACTGTTGTGTAAACAAAAAAAGCTTTAACTTCTTTTGAAAACATCTTCTGTTGTTCTCTAATAACAAAAATCTCGGTATGGCATTCCATGCAACCATGGCTCTGTAATAAACTGCTCTTTGCCTTTGATTAGTTCTGCAGCGCGGTAGTGCGCACCTCATGTCACTTGTCTGTCTCGTCATGTAATCATGATTGTCTGAAAAAAATGATAATTTGTCATAAATTATTTTAGGTATTTTTGTAGTTATTATATTTCTTATAAATGTGATCAGTGAATACTTTAATCTACATTTCACTGTTAACCAGGCCAACCTATCGTGCATCATACTTACATTTGTTCTATAATTACAACCCAGAACAATTCGTGCAGCTTTATTTTGAGCCACTTGTAACTTATTTAAATTCATTTCACTTGTATTAGACCAAATAACTGATGCATAATCTAAATTAGACAGTACTAATGTTTGAACTAAAGTTTTTATCTGCAAACCAGGAATAAATTTACAACAATATTTGATTGTGCCCATACTTATACCAAGTTTCAGCAGGACATGATTTATGTGACTAGTCCATGACAATCTAGAATCCACAATTTCCCCCAACAATCTTGCTTCTTCTACCTGCTCTATCTCTATGTTACCTAGCTTCAAATGCAGTCTAGGTATTGTAAGAAAAATTGGCTGGCTCAGCCATATTGTAAGGAGAAACTGTCTTTACTCAGTTATATTGTAGCGTTGTGGTTTTATGCTCTTTTATCTGTAGTGTATATGTATTCCCCACTATCATGCATTTAGTTTTTTCTGCATTGATTTCTAGTTTGTTCATTCTAAACCATTGTGTAACTAAATCCAACTCCTTTTTTAAAATATCGTTTAATTGGCCTTCTGTTTGTGCTGATGCAAATAATGTAGTGTCATCTGCATATATAGCCATGGTTGCATGTTTTAAAATCAAAGGTAAGTCATTAATAAAAATAGAAAACAAAAGAGGGCCCAAACAACTGCCCTGTGGCACTCCACAATCTAACTGACCCGTTTCAGAATAACTACCATTAAAATAGAAGTTGAATTTGCGATTCGTTAAATAACTTTCTGTCCACTTAATGGCGGATGACTGAAATTTATAACGTTCTAATTTTTTAAATAAGATTTTATGATCAATCACATCAAAAGCTGCACTCAAATCTAAAAATATAGTACCAACTAACTTTTTATCATCTATTTCTTCTAACCAATGATCAGTAATCTGAGCAAGTGCAGTAGTAGTGGAGAGACACTTTGATGGATTAGCTTTATTAAACTAGAGTTCTTTGATTAATCAAAAGAAACGAGTTCATTCTTCTGTCTTCATGCTGGAATGTAAACAGTTTAGAAACGACTGTATGACCTTCAGGCTGTTTCAGACACACTGACACTGTGTCAAAAGGAAACAGCTGTTAGGGTAGAAATGGCTCCTTCATCACGTTACACTGCCAATAACTGACTCTTCCCCCCAGGCCGGTGCTCGTTAAAGTTCTCAAGGGTCATTCTGGAAGATTCCAGGATCTCGCTTTTATCAAAACCCTGGTATTTTTCTGTTTATCTATAATCAAAGGTGTTTAGGTTGTTCACCCTTAAAATAGAAATCAAGGTGCTCCAAGTTAAAATCCTATCAGCCACAGACCTAAACTGTTTGTTTTGTTTCCTTTCATGTAAAACCTCTGTTATTTGGTGTTTCTCCAGTTAAAATTCATGCTAACTGTAAAACTGTTCAGTTTTGACATGAATTTTATTCTTTCCCCTTTAAAGTAATACTTTGATGCTAAAGTAATACTGTTTGAGGCTTTATAGAATAACTGTGTTAAATTGTGATCATGGAATTTCATCTTGGAGAAGGTAGAGTTCATTTGGAAGAGCCACAGTGCCCTCCAGTGGTTTTTGAGTACGATACAGGTGGGCGTGCCCAAAAGGTTATACAAGCACCCATCCGAACCTCGTGGCGGCAGTTTAGGAACAAAGGATGCCTTAAGCTCATTTCCCTGCGGGCTTTTTTCCATCTGGCCCAGCAGAACCCGGCGCTTTAAAGTAATTAGCTCTCAAAAGTTACGGTAAAACTTAGAAGCAACTCCGTTTGTTTTGTTTTGACTTCCTACGTGAAACCGGAAGTCTGTGTTTTCGTCAAGTCTTCATATTAAAAGTAAAAGCAATTTGGAACACAGTTTGATGATTCGGCTCCGTTTTTGGAATAATTTGGGCCCGCGATCTGGATTCCACGTTTCGAGGCCACAGAAGTGAAGGAACCTAAAGTCCAGCCACACCCGGGGAACGAGATTCTCCTGAACCCCAGACACCGTTGACCTAAGCTGAGGTGCCAAAAAGTCCTACGGCCCCTGAAGGCCGCATTCAAGCTTCTGGACCGGCTGAATTCCTGCCCATAGGACACCTCTTTGGCGACGGAGAAAAGGTCTGAGAATCATTTTCATCTGGCTGACTTTTCCTGCTAAGCCCGATTAGTGAATTCAGACTTAAACTTTTATGGCTTGTTATTTTCGATCCAAATTCTTGTTTATCTCTCAAGATTTATCTTCTTTCTCTGCTGCACACGAATCCTTATTCACACACACACACACACACACACACACACACACACACACACACACACACACACTCCTGTGTTCCTATACCCATAGGAATGCACGCACGCGCGCGCACACACACACACACTCACTTGTTTTCCTTACAGACGTTATTCCTAATAATTACTGTAATCCTATGTGTCACCAACGTTCCACTTTTATTAGACTAGTTGTGTCATTGCACTGCCATAAAGCCTTGTGTTTGTCCACTTACTTATTCTCATGCATGAAACAATAAGCTGTGTTTGGTTCTCTGTGCCAAGTGTCACTACTGATGTTTGTAATAAATTCACAAAACTTAAATCATGCCTGATTATTGCCTAGCGATCTCGAGAATAGCCGGCGCATTCTGACAAGAACTCAGCTTCAGATTAAAATGTGGTGTTAACTTTGAGAAGATATAAATATTAAGTCCAGTGTCCCAGTTCACACAGACAAAACTGGGTGGTGCCCCACTTAATTAGTATAAGATCATAAACAAGCTAAATCTACGCCACATTTGAAATATAGATATAAATCTATATGCATCGCTACAAGTGTCCACCCTGGGACTGGGAGATCAGGGTTCAAATCCGGTCGGGTCGTACCAAAGACTTTAAAAATAGGACCCAATGCCTCCCTGCTTGACTTTCACCTTTTAGGGGCTGGACTGGAGGCTTAAACCACCATATATTTTCCAACTGTGGCCACTGCTGCAGTTCACCGCTCCCCACAGGGATGGGTCAAATGCGGAGATGTTATTTCACCAGTGTGTGATGATGACTAATGGGACTCTAAAATGTGGATCTGGATGTAAAAACAAGCTTCAGTAGTTACCTCCAAGTGTTGTAGAAGAGCAGAGGGACGTTAAGGCCTACAGTAAGCCACTCCTGGGCACACAGGAACATAATGCAGAACAGGCCATGGATGGAGTACTCAGGTAGCACCAACTACAAGAGAGAGACAGATTTTAGGTCAGTAAAATAGCATGCCCAAGTCAACAGTGATTTTGTATTCCTGCCTGAATTCATCATTCAGTTCAAGCTGTTGGGTTCATGCCTGTAGCTTTCCTGACGATCAGTGAGAAACCACTCATTAATTAGGATGCAATTGTAATGGGGTGAAAATTAATTTAAGATACTTAAATTAATAGCAAAAGTTTTTTTTATTGAACACAAGATTCAGTAAGATTCTTTTCATTCGATAAAAGGAAATGCAACCCTTTTCTGTGCTTCGTTTCAATAATGAGGCAAGTTTAAAAATGAAGAAGTTTATTACTGACAATTTTTAAACTGAAAATTTGAAACGACAATTATAAAACGACAATTCATGGATGGCAATTTTAATGACAATTCATTAACAGCTTTGATATTAAACTTTGTTTAAAAGCAAACCTGTGTTGGATGGAAAACTACTTTGAGAATGATGAGTTTGGATGCGTGAATGGAGTTCTCAGAAGGTTTCATCAAAATGAACCATTCGGAAAAAACACTGAAATGCAGAGTGTACCGCGCAACGCTGTAGTTTTTTAGCTGTAGTAAAAACAGGCATCTGGCAACTTTAGCAAAGATCTATATATTTTTTTAGAAGAAATGCTTTTAGCGCTTCTACTTTTTGTGGTTTTAAAGGCATTCAAGTCATTTAGAACAGACCAAAGAGCCGCAGCGAACTCCGCTGCTGTCTTCGTTGTGTATGAGAAACCGAGCGTCGCTGTGTGTGATGTCTGCGACGCTGTAGTTTTTTAGCTGTAGTCAAAAATGGCGTCTGGCGACAGCGTAAGCATCTTTCTTTAGAGAAAGGCTTTTAGCGCTTCTACTTGTTGTTGTTTTAAAGACATGTCCAAGTAATTTAGAACAGAGGAAAGAGCCACTGCGAACTCCGCTACAATCGCCATGTTTATGACAAACTCGGCGTTATGGTGTGTGACGTACGCTACTCAGCGCTGATTGGCTTGGTTAGAATTCTCAGGGGGCGGGGTTATTTGAATTGGAGAATTCCCAGACCCAGTGTTGCCAACTTAGCGACTTTGTCACCATTTCTAACGACTTTTCAGACCCCCTTAACGACTTTTTTCTTTTCAAAAAAGCGCCTAGCGACAAATTTGGCGACATTTCTGACCTGCAGATTAGCGATGCATCTGAAGCGACAAGACCGTCCTTCCTTCCAGAGGATCAGAAAGAAAATGATCTGCGCATGTGCGTGCAGTATGATCACGCTACCACCGATGGCCAATCAAACCTTTTGTGGGTTTTCTTTCACAAGTCCATTATTTGAGATAGCCACCGGAGCTACATAAAGGGCGACCACTCCTTCCGCCATCCTGCCGCATTTCGGCCGCTGAGCTCGGCTGGCACTGGCAGGCAGCGTCTCACTCACACAAGGCTTCTCGCACCACTTGTGGTGCATTCAAGGAACATTGGAACTCTATGATGAGTTCAATAACGTAGCACATTTAAAACATTTATAAAAAACAGAAAAATACTGTAAGTCATTGGCAGGTCATTGGCAGTTTGCATGTAATGTTTCTGAATACTAAATACGACCTGCTTCTTTCTACACAAAAGTACTAAAAACAACAAAACCAAACAAAAATTATATATATATATATATATATATATTATCTTTTAGGTCAATATATGGCACTGAATCAAAAAAGAATACATCTCAAGGCACTTGAAAACTACAAGAGAAAATTCATTTGAATTCAGTCATACATACATTCCTATGAATGTAATATTTTTGTGTTTACGCGTTCCATTCTCTTCAGACAAAATATAAATATTCCTTCCATTTTTATGTGCCATTTTTTCTTGATGGCACATTCCTTGTGTTTTAAAGGGTGCTGTTTTGTATTCTATGGGGGGTTTATTTTAATAAAATGTTTAAAAAATTAAATAATTTTTTTTAAATCACGTGGGTTTTATGTGATTTACTCTACAACACCGGTGACGTCATGACGCAAACCAGTTGACGGCATAGCGTCGTATGCAAATCAGCACGTGACGTCATTTGGCGGCATCTAGTGACTTTTGGGGGGAACTTCAGCTACTTTCAGTCAAAAACAGTTGGCAACACTGCCCAGACCCTTTCTCTGTGCAGAATTAAACAGAGGAGGAGTCTGGCAGGCCAGGCTAAGGTTATCCAGAGTTATCTCTGCAGTTGTGCTGCTATACGCTTCGACTGCTGGAGGACATACTGACCATCTTCCACACTCCACTACTTTCTTCTACAAAGTGGTATTTAACTGCATTATTTCCTGCTATTTCAGCTGTTAACTTTATTTTTTTATCTAAGTGTTTTTCTCTCCAGTGGATTCCCCCCCCCCCCCCCCCCCCCCCGGCTCAAAAGAGCTATGCACAAAAGTGAAAAAGTGAAACAGTCCGTCATCCATCAAGCTTTCTACTGACAAAACATGGAGGTGGTGGAGTCAGCTTACCTTCCTCAGCAGGTTGCAGATTCTCTCAATGTTTCTGAGTCTCTCCCTCTGAAAAAACAAAACACACAAAACAAAAGCAGATGAGTCGCTAGTATGTCTCCTTCATTAACTGTTATTCCTCGTGATAAAACTACATCAAGTCCATGCAAGCTGTTTGTAGAGATGTTCTGATCCAGGGTTTCCTCTGTGCCCACCTTGGGCTGGGCAGTATAGACCTAGACTTCTGAATTCCAATAGAATTATTGCAACAAATAAGAACTCTCTCTCCCTGAACCTGACATCAGTGGACTCAGTGGTCTCCTTCGCTGGGTTTCGGGACTCAGCCGACTGCTGGTTGTAGCCCCCCGGGGCAATCCTCTGCCCCTCTCGAGGGGGGCAGGGGCTTTTCTGGTTGCAGTCTCCCTGGGGTCCCTGCGCTCTGGTGCAGCTCCTGGATCTCTGGGACTTGGAGCTCGTTCCATCTCCTACACATCTTTGGGGCAGATCTGTGGCCCCTCCCACTCTCTATTGGATGCTCCTATAAAGAAACCCTACATATAAAAGCACGTGTATGCACGCAGGTGCTCACATCAAGTTGACGCATTGATATAGTTTTCTCCTGTTGTATTGTTGTGTGTCCCTTTTCTGCAGGTCTAGAAGCAGACCCCTGTTCATCATTGATTGTTTATTTTTGTGGACACCCCCCCCCCCCCCCCCTTCCTTTTGTCTCTTCCTTTCTCTTTCACCTCTGTCTCCGTGTCTGGTCAGAATTACACGGCATTCAAAAAACAATAACAATAAAGTTTTAAGTATCAGGCATACCATTAAAGCAGAAGCTTTGATGCTCCACCTGACAGTAAATCTGTAAAGCTTGTCACCAGCATTCAGACATTAATTCTGTTTGCTTCACAGCCAGACAGGCCACGGGAAAACATAAATAAAAAATTTAAAAAAGGCCAGATTCATGGTGGTTCTTTCCTCCTGTGGGAAGTTTGCTGAACTTACAGCCCTTGTCCCTCAGTTTTCTCTGTTTCTGGTTCAATGATGTCACTTTCGTAAGCTTATTTTTAGTCCCGGACTTATTTTCACACAAAACCTAAAATATTATTTCCCCCTGTTTGAAAGTAAGTGTTCTTGGAATCAAAATGTGTCTTTAAAATTCACGGACATCATATGTGAAATCCATGGCACAAAACAAGCTGAATTAGAAAATAGCGTTTTTAGCCCCGTTGACTTGCATTCATTTTCTCGTTCTTCCGGAGACCCGTGGTCCGAAAGTAGGTGGGCGGGGCTTAGGCTCCCCTATATCTACTGAAAAAGTGATGGCAAATGTGCACATTTTCCTTTATCTACAGATATGTGTTTTTGAACTTTTTCATTTGGAAACCAACTTATTTTTGGAGTAACACTGAATGTGAAATAACCAAATTTCTCATGAAGAAATTGATTTAAAATAAAGCACACATCAGTGGTATTCGTTACTTAGTATGTCTCAATTTTTTCATTATTTTTATTCATTAAATTTAGTAAATATACGGCATTTTTAAAATCGTTTAAGTATTTCTGTTTTATGGTTTCTTCTTGTTTACTCTTTATTTTATACTCTCCTTTTTTACTGCTGTAATGAATGTTATTGCTGCTGTGACACCAAGCTTTTCATTTACATTGCTCACCTTCTTGGGGTGAGTTGTGAGGGGACACCTGCTGACATATCATCGGCTGCTGTAGGGACAAGGACAACAACCCATTGACCATAATCAGTTGAAACATAGTTCCTCTCACTGTGGATATCTAAACTAGCAAACAGGTTAAATTTAACCACTCACTAACTAAACCTACCTTTCTTTGAGAAAAACTGTGACATACTGACTCCCACGCTTTTCCCTGTCCTCTTTCTCCTTGTTTTCTCTCCTTTTCTGGGACCCAGACTTTGTTTTCCCAGACATAATTGCTGCAGCCTTTGGCGCACTTTGCTATCTGACTGCTGCCAGCGCGAGCTTGCACCTGGCCTGAGACACAACTGACTGCGCCACTCGGCCAGTAGGAGGACTGTACCATTTCATGCCGATGTGTCAAAATAAAGCAGAGACCTCTGAATAAATATAAAATACAAAACGACTGTTTAATATTTTCAATTAGAAAAAATACTGCAAAGTAAAGTACTTTTTTAAAATTCAAGCTTGAAACAGTTTTGGCCCCCTACAGCGGTGGGCCCTTAGAATCATCCTAACCTTTTCCCCATTTACGGCACCCCTGACTACACAGGTGGTCAGTGTGTAGGGGAGGAAAGTGCCGCAGCCACAGAGTCATACTGACTGGAGCGTGTGGCTAAACTGGAGTTAAATCATCTCGCTCTGGCATTAGGGAGTCTTGGGTCATTTATAAGCAGGGTCCGAAATTAAATTTTTTACTCACCGGCCAAGTTGGCTGGTAGATGATGAAAATCTACCGGCCAAGCATATTTTTTACCGGCCAAAATTATAAATGATTTAGATCTACCTAAAGCATGTAATTCTATGTTATGTTGATTCCAAACAGAGTGACAAAATAATTAAAACATCAATTAATAAGAAAAACAACTCTTTTGTCATTTTTACTATTTATTTATTTATTTTTAGAGATGTTTTTATGAACTCTTTCATTGAAATCTAGTCAGACTCCTTGTTTTCTCTGTCCATGAAGTCTGGCCTCCTGTTTCTGACATCGTCTTTGTGCCAAAGCATTACAGCCTCATTTGGGTCCTAGTCCTTGATCTCTGGAGAACACAGCTGCACCATGAGAATATCTGAAAATGTGTAGGGTTGTCACGGTAACCGGTGTAGCAGTAAACCCCGGTAAAAAAGTTGACAATAAATAATAACAGTCTTGTTTAAAAAAAAATATCTCGGTGGATTACCGTGGCTGCGGTGTAGGCGCGGTGACCCTTACCAGCCACCGTATCATCTGCTGAAGTTGCCGGCGTCACGTGCGCACTTTGTTGTTTACGACCAAAACTTTCTTTAAGCTAAAGCTGAAATAATGGCAGGAGGAGACGGCAGCACTTGGGACATTTATTATCCCTCAAAGAAGACAAAGTCGGAAGTATGGGCATTTTTGGGATATTTGAAGAATGCCGAGGGACAGTTGTCTGTGAAAGGCAGCAACGCTACGTGGCCATCATAATGTAGCCATTGTCTCACGACTCCGCCGTCTCCAGTGCGCCACTTTTCACAAAATCTTCTCGTTGCCACTGGTCCTGGTGGTTTTTCTTCCAGTTCGACGAGTTTTCATTTGGAAGGCTGGCTGACTCCAGTTAAAAACCGCCACATTTCACCGCTAGTTTTAACACGAAGCTAACGGCTAACTTGATAAACTGATTGAATGGGATAGGTGGAAATGACGTTGGATGCGGCGTTCATGTTTCGCGTACGTTTGTGTACGCTGCATGCAGGCGGGAGGAGTATCAGACATCCATGGAGATGACTGATAAACATAACTAATTTGGTGCAAACATTTACTCGCCAGGTGGCAGGTAGAGCTCAAAAATTTACTCGCCAAATGGAGCAATTTACTCGCATTTGGCGAGTGGCGAGTGTTAATTTCGGACCCTGTTTATAAGTGCTCAGACCGTGGGAGTAATGTGGCGCAATCATGTCCTTTTTACCAAAGATTAAACAATGGTGGTACAAAGAGGATTTGGGGGCAGCTTCTGCGCTGACTGTGATTTCCATTTATCTTGGACATAACCTGCTTTTTATTGTGATCAAAGCCATGCTCATTACGTTTTTTAACAGGCCGCTCCTAAAGGTGTCTGTTCCCCACAGTCACCATGCAGCCTCTGGTGATCTGAGCTCCAGCTGTAACGGCGTGAAGCTCCTGTAGCTGATTTTGTTCAACAGGAAAAACTTACGGCCTGTGTTAACTTTCATTTTCAATAGTGATGTCGGCTGGAGCTCAGTAGTAACTCCCCACATGATCATGACACCTCCCTCTGTAGCGCCAAGGCGCAATCGGCATTTACTGCAATATCACTACCAAGCAAGATAGAAGGAATGCCACAAAATCTGCACATCGCCATGTGGTCACATTACGCTGATTTGCCTGCAGTGTGTTTTGTAAAAAGGGCTAAACATGTTCTGTTCCACTCTAACGTACTTCTGTGACAATCCAGACCTCTTCAAGCAATTTGGTCTAAAATCCTGACAGACAGAAAAGTTGAAGTCGGAGATGTCGTCCCGCAGCCAAATCTCAGTGAAATGCAATACAGTGATCCCTCGCTACCTCGCGGTTCGTTTATCGCGGATTCACGACTTCGCGGATTTTTTCTTTGGAGCCTTATTCAAGGGAAATTCGCGGTATTTTTCACCGATTTGCGGTGTTTTTCTATGCGACATATCAAGAAATTCCTGTTTTTTTTCATCATTTTCATCATAAAAGGCACTTTTTGTAATAAAACTATAAAAAAACCAATTAAAAGTTTTTTTTCTTGAGTTTTACCCACAAAAAGAGAATGTGATCATACGATAATTCAATATAGTACTGTACTGTAAATATGGTGTCCCTACTTCGCGAATTTTCACCTATCGCGGCCAGGTCTGGAATGCATCTACCGCGATAAACGAGGGATCGCCTGTAATGCATTCTTTTTATTCTAGCCAGGTTCTCATAAGCATTTCAAGTTTGTCCATCTCATTTATGGGAGATCCACCTTATGATCAGTTAAAGCAATGGTTTAAACTTCCATTTCCTCTTAGCTCCTGCTCTGCACCCATGTCTCCTCCTTTTTGACTTGTTGGGATTTTGGGTTGCAGTTTGGATATTATTCGAACTAAAGTCTCTCGTTGCTATGGTTACAAATAAGCAGACAGCAATCTTGTGCGTTGCTATTCTAGAACACTTTTCTACAATGTTGAGCTTAAATATACCAAAGTATTAGGATGTACAGATCCGTGAAAAAAAATCTGGAATTGAAGTTGTATTCTGATGGAGTAGACGCGAGGAAATCGAGGAGAGAATGAGAAGGCAACAGTAGAATTGATAAAAAGTCTATGGGGTGTATGGATGAGTTACATTTCTATGCAGCCAAATGA